AGAAAATTTACATATACTATTTAAAATTGACTCTTTTATCTAACTAGTTACAAATACCTTTGATGATGATCTTACCGACAATCAGCTGATGCTTAATTGTATACCTTATTAAATTATTAATTTGCGCAAAAAAATATTTGTTTGAAAATGGAAAGAAAAATTATAACAATGCCTGTAATATTGAGATTTTTTGGAATGAAAAAAACTGTGTTAAACGGCATTTACATTAGAACTTTGACAATTTAAACCCACTGGGTTAACGAAATCAGGGGGGCTACTCTGTATTACGATGCGTGAGAAAAATTGTAACGCATCGCGTAATTGGTACTCTCTAATTCGTTTTCGTATCTCCTTTCGCATCTACTTTACGCAAATGTGGCATCACCGCACTCTGTAATACGAAAACGCATGTCAAACTCGTTCGTTAAGCGCAAATATCTTGCGTTAACAAAATAGCAAACGCAAAGGAAGCGAAACATATAAGTAAGCTCCATTAAAGGTTTTATTTATATATAAATTGTAAATTATTTTAAGTAAAAGGCAAAAAAGTCACAGTTACAGACTCAGCAACGTCAGTTCCTAACTTCAGTAGATTTTAGGGGGCAACACAGTGATTTGGCAAATGGACAGTTGCAGAGTTCAAATGCGAAACAACGCGCCAACAATTTGTGGACAAAACTGTCTGATGACCTCAATTCAAATTGACCTCCTGTAAAAGATGTCGTTGGTTGGAAAAAGTAATATATTATTTTTTTATATAAAATGTGAAACTATGTGTGCATATTTATAGGTTGGTGTTGATAACCACCTTGTCCAAGCAATTTCAAAGCAGCGGCCTCTTTTATTGGAGTTGGAATTGTTGTGGATCTATTTGAAACGACGAGCGTTTAAAAAATACATAAACGAATCTTTATCGAGACATTTTATATAAATCTATAAAAATTAAATATTTGAAAACATTTGTCACATAATTCGTACTTATATTTACATACCCGTGGTCACTTAGGGAGAGTATATTTGATAGATCTCATAAAATTCTTTTTTTTTAATTCGTTCATCATTTTTGTTAAAAAAATTGGAACCACACAAAAATATGTTTTCATTTACAATTTTTTGACGTTTCCTTTTGTCATTCTTCGTTATTGTTTACTTTGTGGCGACAGTGTTGCCCTATTTTCAATTCAGTTTGCGTGAACGTTACAGAGTACCAAATTGTACTCTTAACGCATTTAGCTTTCGCATCGCACTTGCTTTCGCAACGCAATACAGAGTAACCCCCCAGGTACAATGTAAACGTATTACTGAATATAATAACTCTATGTATTTTTTCATAAAAATCCGCGTTGCATCTCATTGGTATTATGTTTTCGTTCATGATTGAAATAAATCCTGGCGCGAGATGATTTAAATGTGTAAATCCACTTCGAAAAAAATAAATGTTTCTGTTATGAATAATTCAAGTCACTAAACAACTGACGGAAGTAGATATGTGTAAACGCCATGTTAGGAGAGTACCATTTTGAAAATATTGTAAATTTTTAATAAATAATGATATTTTTCGAAGATGTCTATAAATATTGCACTTCCTGAAAAAAGGTGAACACCCCGACTTTTTCTTTCGTTTTATCTTTTAATCCCTTAAAAAAACCATTAACAATGTGAACTACTTTAAATTGTGTTTAATGGCAATATTTTATTTTCGTTTCTTTAGGATGGAATAGCATTTTTTTGCCGCCCAAAAGATGAGATTAATGACTGTGACCTGTCTGTATATGAGTAATGAAAAAAAAAAAACAACAACAAGAAGAGTGAAATAAAATCTTAAAGCAAAACATAAGTATGTACAGGTGGGTTATTGGCCGTTATTAACGACAAGAATTAATAACAGTTAAAAAACAAGGCCAACCAAAAAAGAAAAAAAGTTAAATAAACCGTTATTATTGTATTCAAACAAAGGCAGATATCTGCTGTGAAAATTACTGGGAATGTGAGTTATTGAACGTCAATATAGTTGCCATCTTTTTTAATGTTAACAATGCAGTGATAGTAGGTGAGTCTGTGTTTGTATTCGGGTGTTACAAATTGATTTTTAAGAATCATGTAAGAAACGGAATTATGCCAGAATCACAACTTAGATCAGTATCTCAGTAACACGAAAAATAGTTTAAGATATCAAAACTAATTTTCCTAAAATGCATGTTTTAGCCCGTTGTAAATACATTTTAATATGAACTGTTGTGCCATGTTTACACGTGTAAACAAACATCAGCTGATTCAAATTTTGAAAGCTTTAATATTCTCATATGGGTATTAAATCTTCATATGGGATTATGAAATCAATGTAATTTAAAGTCGTTGATGTAAACATTCTATAAGGCTAAGAAAAAAATAAAATGTCAGATATCTCTGCATATTTGATTTGATTCTTGAGGAATTTAAGATTCTTTCTATCATCGAATAATATGTTGAAGCATTTTGGGAAATATTCCCATTAGAAAGAGAAAAATTAAGTCTATATTTTTTTTAAACGTCATTTACATTAGAATTTTTTTCCTCGTTAATCTCCTCTATGAAGATTTTTTGACATATATGTTATGGAATTGGCAATTTAAATCTAGTTGATTTAATAAATCAGGTACAATGTAAACGTACTTTTAAAGCTATTTTTATAAAATCTATTCTTATAAACCAATTAGATTGTCAATTCCAAGGGTTATATGACACATAAATTCGTTTTTTTCGTAAAACGCATACCTTAGACTAAGTGATTCGATAACAGAATCGTTGGAAGTTGTTCTATCATCGTAAAATCATTTAATTCAATCCATCAGCTATTAAACAATGAACATATGCCATACACTGAATGTTGCATATGGCTTTATATGAAACTCCCTTTATTTGCCCATCATGGACAAACAAAAAATGAGTCTAAAATGGTACAATTGAACAGCTAAGTTTGATCAAGATCTATTAATAAGGTCTCCTAGCTAGCGAAAGTCAGCTGTTTATCTCAAGTCTAATGTCAAAAAATTGGCTTTTGTTTACGTTTTCATAATGTAAGTCAATGCACAAAAATCGATTTTCAACTCAATCGCTCAACAAGAACAACTGATACTATTACCATGCTGAGTAGTTATTTAAAATGTGTGGACCGTGGGCCTTTATTCAATGAAAAGTGGCTTTGTTTTAAAAGTTTAATGTAGCCGTCGTTGACTCTATTTAAAAGTGATTTTGAAACTGAAATAAAAAGCAGATTCGAAATAAAGAGCCTTTAACCAAAGTGTTTTAACCGTGAAAAGGTCTCGAGGCTTATATCGGACGCAGTGTAAGTGACCGTGAAGTTAAAGATCCGTAGGGGACCGAAGCCTGGAATCTTTATAAAAATGTGTTATTATTGAATCGAAATAAATACCCTTTATTAAAAGAAAGTGGTTCTATATTAAAAGTGTTTTCCGGTTCGAAATAAACAGTCGTCGTGGGCCTGTATTTAAGGAAAAGTAATTTTATTCCAACCGAAATAAAGAGCCGCCGTGGACCTTTACAGAAAGGTGTGAAAGTTAAGAATCCGTAGGGAAACCGAAGCCTGATTCGAATTATTTCAACATGCAATTCCTTCATGCTACGTCTCTAGTTATTTATAGAACCAACAGCCGTGCCGGAGCAGAAGTAGAACAGAGCTAGACGTTGCAGACCTCTATCGCAGTAACTTATGTATATGGAATTTGTATATCAGTTTAATTTTCTAAATAAAGCGAACTAAATTTGTTGAGCAAGTCAAAGCCAAAATAAAATTGGATTAAATGTGTTTTTTTTTTTTTTTTTGCTTATTAATAATAATAATCACATTCTTGGTCGTATTCTTTACATTTTGAACCATTTGGCCATAAAACAGCTGATTAAACATCGGCTGATGCTGCTGGAAGCTATTTAATGAATAGATTTTCCTCATAAGAATTTCGAAATAAAGAGTATGACAACTACCAAATCTGTTCTCTCAATTATCTCTTTTTCTGGACTTTTGTGTAAACGAACAACTTCCAGTAACAATTTGTACAAATTTAACAGTAATGGAATATGGAGTAATATGGTCTGTTTCCGTACTAAAAATAAATAAATTTTTGTAATTTATAAAGGGAAATCGACCGATAACGCAGCATATTTGAACTACTTAGAAGAGATAATAGTATTGAGGACAACATTTAGACGACATGGAGCTACAAGTTCCTCCACATGGCACAATGAATAGGTAGTCCATTTAGCGCAGCTTATTTCTTGATTACCTGTCAAAGTGTGTAATTTATACTTGAATTCGATGTGCAGCGTTGCCAACCATTTGAAATATTATATGGAAAAATTTGACAGATAATCGAGGCAAAAACAAAGGGTTTTGTTTTGATACATCACTTTATTATTGCATCACGTTCCTCCATACATAGGGTTATATTTTAAAGACTTATTTTATAGTACGTTTACATTGTGCCGGATTTTGTTAACCCAGTGGTTAACGAAATTCATTGTATACATGTCAAATAAATCCTCATAAAGTAGGCTAACCCAGCAAATTTAAATGCCGTTTTATGACGTATACTTTAGGTACCTAAAATCAATTTTATGATTTTATTTCTCAACAAAGTTTAATAAAAAATGAAATAATATCCCCACTGTCTCCAAGTGCTTTATTGAAATTTAATTCGTTACAAGTCAATTGAGATTTATATCTCTGCTGTAAATGATTCTCACATTCCCGTAGTAATATTTCAGAGGTGTTACTTCATCATACGCTTGAATTCATTCATAAAAAAACGAAACAAACGAAAAATGTTAAATAATTCATTCATTCACTGCTTCAGTTAGCATAACACAATTATTTTGTTGTTATCATTCTTATTGGGTAATATTAGAGGCATTATTTCACAAAATTCCGGGTTAATAAAAAAAAATTAAATTAAACATAAAACCCCAAAGAAATAAATAAAATAATAAAACAAACGAATATTCACCTGTTCTTAATATTCTCTGGCACAAATATATTCCACCATGAATGACGTTTTTGCCTTGGAAAATAGGCTGAATGATTGGGATCGACATCGTCATAGGTCGACATATCGCCCGAAGATGAGCCGATGCCTGTGGTACTATCATTGGTCAAATCACTTTGTGAACCAATTCCCGTACTCTGTTCCAGAGTGGGGAAGGTGACTTCGAAATTCTTGCGGCGACGTCTATCCAATTTTGTTTGCAATGAACTACGTCGACGACGATTGCGTTCCTTGTCGATGGGTGTATCGTAGGGACTACTGGTAATGCCAATACCCTTGACAGCGGTGCGAACATTGGTGCCATCATCGAAATAGGTCACTTTGCCGGGTTCATTTGGCGATGAGGCACGAATATTCTCCTCGGAGCTGTAAACAATGTCAGGTGATATGGGTGTATTTGAGCCATCACTTTTTTCATGTTTCACGGCCGATTCATAGGAATCTTTGGATGAATGCTAAATGAACCGAAAAATAATAAATAATAAAAAAACAATATGAAAATAAAAAATCAATGAAAATGTGTTGAAATGTTCACCCATTACCTTATTACTATCACGACGAAAGAAAGACACCGCAATGGAGCTACGTCTTTTCTGGCTTTTATCTGATTTGCTGGAGAACAAACCCAATGCCAGTGAACTTCGACGTGGCGGCTTTTGTGGTGGCAATGATGGTTCAGTGATATTTATTCCGCTTTCGGTTTCATCGTCGGCGTGTTCATCGATATCGACCAATGATGGTATCGAGACACTGGCCCAATCTTTTTTCAGGCGATATTTTCCACTGTCGATGGCACTCATTTTGTATGGAGGCGATTTAGATGAAACACGTTGATAAGTAAAATCCGTGGTGATATTGTTTTCCGTTTCTTTTTTTGTTAAGTTGTGTAAAAACGCAAATCATATAACAAAAAATTAATTATATATATTTAAAACGTCCCAGGCGTTTTTAGGAAAAAACTCAAAAAGTTTTGCTAAAAAAAAAAAACAAAATGAAAATATAAATTAAAAAAAAATAAATATAATAAAAAATACTAATTAAAAGAATTTTGTGTTTTTTCTGTCTCATTTTCTTACTTTACGTTTACAGTCTATCCAAAAAATGTTCATAAACACCAGGTAATTTAAATTTTTACAAGACAATGTTTCAATGGATTTGACAATTAAATCTACTGAATTTACTAAATCCCGTACAATGTAATACCTTTTAAATCGACTAGATTTCTAAATGGAGGTAAAAATCATTACTGTTTAGACTAGTATTTAAAATTTTATAAAGTTCTCAGTCAGCTATTATTTGTTTATGTATACATAAACCAAGGCCTATTAATAAGGTCATCCAAGGGGGCCAGCTGGATATCAGCTGCCTCTCAAAATTGCTGTACAAAAAAATTTTATGAATTGACTTCCATTATGAAAATGTAAACAAAATCCAAAATTTTGACATTAGACTTGAGAAATAACAGCTGATGTTCGCTACCTGGGTGAACCTTATTAATAGATCTTGATATAAACATTTCACTGGTTTCATAATTTTCGTAACAATTCTTCGATTTATATTTTGAACATTCTAATAGGAATATTTCTTTATTAAGTAAAAAATTGCAAAGAATAATATGTTGTTTTAAATTATAGAAATATTCATAATTAATTTTGACAAAATTTCCAGCTGTTGCCATATTTTGTTATTCAGCTTTTAATTGAATTTTGGAGTATTTTAAAAAGTAGACTTTGGTACATTTTGGAAAAGTTATGCACAGCAAGGTTGTTTTTGAAATTATCTGGATTTGAGGTGTGTTTAGAATATGCCTTCTAAATGTATTCGATTTCTAAATTGATATACGAAATCCTAGCTGTTTAGACTAGTGTTGAAATGCTATAAAGTTCCAATTTTACGCAGCTGGTCAGTATTTTCCTAACTTTAATAAGAATAATTCTTCTTAAGGCGACAAATACATAGAAGCATGCGTTCTTGACTAATTTAAAAAATTTTAAATTCTCAACTTTGCTTATATCGTTTAACTCCATAAAATGAGCACTGATCGGCTGAAATGATTTTGTCTCTTTCAGATGATTTTCATTAAAGAGAAATCCAAAAATGCGTACTCGAAGAAATAAAAAAATTATAAATAACAAATTCCAATAAAATAAAATTTCAATTAAAATCTTTTTTTATTTTAAAATTCGCGGTAACAATTTAGTTCTTTTTGTAAACAAGTGTGGGTGTAAATGTAGACAAATACCAGCTGACAGTCACTTGAAATGATTTCAAAGCCAGTTTAAATAATCCTAATTTATTTTTAGGGTTTCGTAAATCTACATCATATAACGTGTGTTTGTAAATGCGCTATAATGCAAACAGAGTTGTATCTCGATTACGAAAATAATTTCGACAAATCGAGATGAATGGATTTAACCTGGCATGGTAAATCGAGGTGAATTCAGACCGACCTTTAAGATTTCATTCATATGTAATACCTCATGTGTATCAAAATTAGCAGCCTACATACGACTTTTTGTTTTTGAGTTCAAACCTGCATATGTATTTTTCATATGACATAACCTATAAATAAAATACACCTTTATTTTTTTTTTAATTAACATAATTTTTTATTAATCGTCTATAAACGAATTAACAATTGTATCACTTTTGCCTTTTCATCCCTTTTTGGGGCTTTCAATTCAAATATTGTCTTACAACGATATGTTTCTTTCAAACAGCTGATTTCCTTATTTTTCACATATGAAAATGAAACCAGTCCTATTCTGAAAAAATACATATGCACTTACACATCATTTTGACACATTGAAATTTGGAGTATGTTTCACACGATAAGTTCGAGTTTCATATGTAAATAAAAACATATTGTGTAAAAGCCCAACAAAAATACATTTTTGAAATAGAAATTTAACTGAAATCATCTTTATTTTTACCCCCCTTCTATTTAAAAGTCTAACCAATTTTAAACTCATCCTCATAGGCAATTTCATAACTTTATTTTATTAAGCCCCCATTCCTCCAAGTATTTACGTAAATCTTTAAAATGATCAATGGCCAATCACGGCACACCTCATTGCTTTAAGTCAATCAAAAATAATTACATATTTACAACGATATTGATTAGTTCCCTCCACCTCTGGCTTAAAATGCCTTGAGGTTTTAATTAAATAATAAGTAGATGTAAATCCATTGATTCAATCAACGACGATAATTTGCATTTAAACGTTTCATGCCACAAAAAAACACACACACACAAATACGCTCCAACCACAAGGCATGCATTTGCAGGGCATGGGGTTCCCTGATTAGCTGTCATTCACCCCAAAGATAATTTCACTGATATTCAAATGAACAAAAAAGAAAAAAAGATCAATGTAAACAAATCAATTTTCAAATACCACATTCCCCCCTTTTATTTGTCTATTGGCTATTATTTCGTTTAGCATCACACACAAAATTTGACACTTGTTGCATGACAGAAAATTCAAATTCAAGTCAATCCCCCCTTTTGGCTAGGTTGGCAATTCGCGCTCATGCCCTATGGCCGCAGCTGACTGACTTACTTGTTTGTCATTTGCTAGTTAACAACTTTACGTTTTGTTTTGTTTTTTTTTCTTTCACTAATTGAAGGCGATTAGTAATATCGTGTAAAACTCTATTCGAAGCCGGCAAAACAATTGAAAATCAAATGAAAACAAATCGAAAAAATTGTTTTGAAAATGAAAGTGATAGATAGTTTGACGGTGATTAGACTTCAATGACAGAGAGTTTACAATAGGTTGATTTGTTGTTCAATTGCCATCATGTAGTATTTTGTTTATTCAATTCAGAATTTGACATTAATACGAAAATCTCTGTTAACAGGTGCTGGCAGTGGTGCTGCTATTTGAGTTTTCAAGTACCACTTCTATGATTGTGATATATCTATATGACCGCCTGTCTCTCGGTCTGTCATGGAGCCCGATAATGACGGGGTAACTGAAAGTGCTTACAAAGTGTAATTATTTGCAATGTATATGTTTGTATATACATACTCTATCTATTGTTTTATTCTTGTCTAGATTTTCCCATGGACAATTAAAAAAACCAAAAACAACAACAACAACTACAAAAATAAACGCTACAAAATGTTTTGTTTTGATTTCATTGTTGCTAATAATTTTTAAAAAGTATGGGGGTAAAAAATTTCACACGTTTTTTTGTATCTCATTCAGTTGTTGTTGTGGAATTATTTTATAACAAAGTGAATATAAATAATATAAACCATACACACATACTGTGTGTCGGATCATGACCCACCTCAAATTAGTTCAGTTAATAGCAAATTAGCAATTATTAAAATGAAATGTTAGCTGTCATTGGTGTTGGTGTTCACGAACGTGTGTGTCTGTCGGTGTTTGTTTTATTTATTTTTCTTTTAATTATAATTTCATAATATCAGGGATTAGATATTTACCTATATAATTAGCATGTAAATGTTCCATATATGGATTTACATACATATGTATCAGATAGTAATTGGAAACTAATGAATGAATCCCAATTGGTTTTAATTGTCACATTTTCCAATTAGCAATACAGATTAATTAATGTTTACCCATTTACGTCAGTGTGGCAATATGTTTTATTAAAATTACTTTTATTTTTTGCGAAAAAAATAATTTATATTAATTACATAGCCTTGAATTAGGGCAACACATGATTATATCTTAATAATAGCATTTAAATAGCAATAAAAGCAAAAGTTTTTAGTCTCAACTATAAATTCATCGATCAATTTATTATTACGTCACAGTACATGGGTTAATAGGTATATTCCCATCATAGAATGGCAACCCATCCATCTGTCATGGCAACAACCAGTGCTGCCAGTTAAATTTCATGAAAAATCGTCAATTTTTCAGAAAAAAATCGGCATAATCGGCATTTGTATTTTTAAAAATCGGCAAAAAATCGGCAGCATATAATTTATAAATAAATTCATATTTTTTTGGTTTATAACAAATCAATATTGTTTATTACATTAAAAAAAGATAACAAATTCAATTCTGTATAAAAAAATAACATAAAAGATTAATTTTTCAACAAAAAATGTAGATTTTTTTAAAATATAGTAATTATTATGTACACTAGTGAGATCTTTCAGATTTACGTATA